ATTCTTGTATCGTTTTTCTCCAATTATATATATTTATTAAATAATCACGAATACCTTCAACTATTTGACGATTAAAATCATACGTTGATTTATTAATATTTCGACCATCAATTATTATTTGTAGTTCATAAAAACGTGTTTTACTAACACGATTAATCATATCATCAACTTGTGATCGTTCAAATGATACTTTAAATCAGAGATGTCCATCGCGACTCAAAATCTGCCGCGTCGCGGCCAAAATCGAACAGAGCTGCCGCGATGGTATTCGAAAAAATGTTTTGATTTCCAAGGCTGTGACTGGTTTGAACTAGAACTGATGCCGCTAATCGATCAGATTCGTTAAGTCTTACAGTATAGCATACATGAACATGCAAGTTCTGTGCAAATTCATGATTTTTTGAAATTTTTTCCTAAAAAAGCTGCCGCCGCCGCGACGGCAAAATAAAAATCTCTCCCGCGCCGCTATGGTTTTTGGAAAAAATCTGCGGCTGCCGCGCCGCGATGGACATCACTGGGGTGTGGGTGGATGGAGTGTAGGTGTGGGTGAGGATATGAACGTGAGAGAAGACACCCACACACCCACCTACACCCACACCCTAAACATTTCAAAGTCAGTTTTTCAAGTGTTCTACTCCCAAATAAATCTAAGGTCTCTTACAGTAACAATGAATAATATCCCCTTAGAATGTGTAAAAGATTTTAAGTATCTCGGATATAACTGGACAAGTAAATTATCCATGCGTAAAACGATAGCAAATTGTTTAGAAAAGGTTCAACGGTCTTATACTAAATTAAAGTGGTTGAAGCGCAACAGAGGGATCTCTACCGAAGTTTTGCGGCAATGTTTCTTTACATATTCATTCCCCTATTTCTCTTGGCTTTTTTGTCTCTTTCCATTTCTTCCGACTACACAACAAGAGATGCTTAAGAAGAAATACAGAGCTGGACTGAGGTTAGTCCACCGATGCCCATGGGCAGGAGCACAAGAACTTCATAATTTTATTCAAGAGAAAGAATTTGATCAATACGTAAAAAGATACATCGCAAAGAGGCTCAAAAAGTTATACAAGTCAGATCTATCGTCGTCACTCTTTTTTGAGGATATATCCTTCTGGAATGATTTTAAGAAAAGAAAAAATGATGGACTAGACCATTACTTCCAACTAAAAAGAGTAAACAACCTGATAAAAAATCACAAGTCACTCATAGGTATATGGCTACAATTTGTTCAGGACAAATGATCCCCTCTTTTTTTTCCTTTTTAGCAAGTTTCCTACTCTACAGAGTGTAAAAAATCCTCAGTTTCTTAGTCGTTCATATATGATTGTCTTCATCTGATTGGGGATATGAAGTATTTGCAGATATTATTCGCATGTTTCCCTCTCCTTCTCGGTTTATTTTCCTTTCCTTCCTTTTTCCCCTTTTTTTTTGACATTTTCCCCCATTTTGTAAGCGCTTCAGAGCGTCACAATAAACACCGCATATACAAAAAAAAAGTTTCCGACTGATCCATGCTGTTTTTGTTGATACTTTGTCCATATGTAGGGTTCGATGAGACTAGAAAAAACCTCGAAGGATAACGGCCTGTAGGCCTTCCTTCTCGTGTTATCTTAAGGTGAGGGTGAGCATAATGATCTTATCAACACTCTCACCCTCATACTCACACTCTCTTTATTATACATATGACATTTTAAGTATAATGGGCATTCTGATATGCAAATTAAAAAAAATTGGGACATTGTTTATTTTTAAAAATTATCCGGAATTCTGTTTGTCCCGTCCCGAAAAATTTTCGGGACTGTCCCACAGGTCTCTATTTTCTACTTCCTTCATCTCACTATTACCGTGATTTATTCGCATTTATCATTGTTTCTTCCTTTTATTGCGATCTTCCTCTACTTTTTTCTTCTCCTTAATCCTCCTTCTCATATTACGTTCGTAAGCATTTACGAGTTTCACAATAAAGAACGAGCAAAAAAAACAGAAACAAGAGACTTCACTTCCTCTCTCATATACATATCATCGTCTTCGTTGAGAAGTATATAAGAGGTGTTTTTCTAAGCTATTCAATTCAAACACAAATTATATTTCGTTTCAAAATCGAAGAAAAACTTATTACCATGCCTCGTATTCTCGTTCTTCTCGTAATAACAGCTATTGTTCTTGGAGCTACATTGGGTATGTGAGAAATGAATTGAAAAGCTTGTAAATATTAGCATACTTTTACTTGATAGACGTGGCTTCGGCTGGCACTTGCGGATGTCCATGGAATTCAGCGCGCTGTGAAGCCAATTGCATAGGCAAGAATATAGGAGCTGTAACTGGTTCATGCCGTGGAATTGGTTACTTCACTTGTAAGTGCAAAGTGAATGGAAGCTGGAGATCTATTGGTGGCAGTTGTAACAACTAAACGCTCTTTTGTAGCTAGCCTCGCATTAAAATAATAACTTGCGTTTAATAAAACTACTCCGGACAGCTTCGTCCATTTTTGCCAGTTTACTTTCCTCAGTCATCTCTATCTTTTCTCAAACTACAAGCAACGCATTTGGAAGACAGAAACATATCAGATTGAGGATGTGTTGTCCGGTTACGAAAGTGTACGCATACATTCTAAGCAAAAAGATTTTTACGAAACAAAAAAGGGTTCGTTCCTTGGGCACAGGGGAAAAGAAAGCGTTCCAGAAAAAATTTGGCTTTTTTAGGGAAAGAGAACGTTCCAGAAAAACTAGAATGCATTCCAAAATGGAACAGTGAAGAACACATCCCACTTTTTTGGAGTGTGCTCTTCACCGTTTCATTTTGGAACGCATTCTAGTTTTTTTGGAACGTTTTCTTTTTTTCAAAAAGCCAATTTTTTTTGAAACGCATCCTATGCCGTTCTTTTCTGAGGAACATTTTTCACTGGGTTGAATAGCAAAAGTGTATCTATAAAAAAACCGATTGTATGTAAATTGTAGAGCTCTTCAAGCTGCATCTTGTGATATAATTTGCTTTTTAATACTCCGTATTAACTGACTCAAAAGTGATATACAAAATGCGGTCATTATTTCCGCCTCATCCGTTATTTGACAATTCAATTGACCAGTATCTCTTGTCCATTGATATTTGAACGAAACTTCTTTATCGATTTTTCTTGTTCGTCTATGATTCATTCGTCTTTCGATTCTGTTTATTTTTTCTCACGTGTCATTGCAAAGAAAAATCTTAGTTTCTTCAAAACATTGACTAGTAGACAAGTATCCATAGGGGAAAAAAGAAGGTGGCAGAAAAGTTGAAAAATGGTGAATTTTCAGCTGAAGAAGAACCACCATCATCACATGATTCATTTTGGGACATCTATTGCGTATTAAATGTTCCAATAATGAACATCAACCTTTTGTGCAATGTCGATTATGCAATGAGATATTGCCATATTCAATATTTAATGGAACTTCTACCATTAGTTATCCTGTTAAAAATTGCCTTGATAAATAACATCTAGATTTTTCTCTAATTTCAAATATGGCAGGGCAGGACAGGGTCAGGTTGCCGAAATATCAACAGGGCAGGTTACAGGTTATCAAAACTGCTTAGCCTGCAGACCTCTAACTTTATGGCTAAAGTTGTGGTTTCGTGTACGAAGCTACCAAAGAGTAGTTCACTTATTTTTTGGTAAAAAATTTGTTTAAATCAATTCCAAAAAACTGCATTAATACATGTACAACATGATTCACTGATTTTTACTAGTTTTCTTCAGTTTATTGTGTTTATACAAAACTTCGGAAATTTTTTTTATTTCTATATGATCAGATAGAATATTGATTACTTTATCCGACGGTATCGTTTTCATTTTTATCACATGTTTTGACTTAAAAATTTAAAAAATTCTAAAACTGGCTAAAAAGGCTTCTGTAAACGTATACTTGACTCAGGCCAAACTCGATTGTCGCGAAATTAGCCTTAAATGGAAGAGATCCTTCAAACTTAAGGTTGCATCAAGTATTGAATGAAACTGTTTTAAATTCGAGAAGAAAATAAAATATTACTGTTGGAATTCTAGACACTTTTATACTACTTCATTTCCGGTGTTATTCGTATAATCTCAAATTTAGTTATAATATTTTATAACTAAATCAGGCTAAAATTGCATGAATCAATAGAGAAATTGTTGCTCGATCGAACTGTATATTAATAGAAAAGATTGATATAGCTAGACGACTGTAATTTACTCGACAAAACAAATAATTGAACTCTTATCATAAAAATTCGTTAAACATTCACTAAATTTTCAGCCAAAGTGGGAAATAAATTGATAAAAAATATATAGTTGGATAGAGAAATGAATTCTCTATCTAACTATATAAAAACGAAATATACTCATTTGTCTAATACGTTGTAATTTCTCGAATTACTCGAAGAAAACATCTCGAAATTCCACAGAAAAAAAATCTTTGGTCTGCTTCACGAAACTTACTCATTTTTTAACTAATTAATGAAATAAATCAAACAAAAACTACATCGTTAGATAGAGTAATCAACGCTCTATCTAATCATATAGAAATAAAAAATTTCTGACGTTTTGTAGAAATACAATAGACTGAAGAAAACTAATAAAAATAAGTGAATCATGCTGTATAGTGGTAAAGCTGAGCATGATCCAAAGACACGACTTTTTTATCATTGAACGAGGAGTACGTAAATGTCCTCATTTAGCACAAAGATACTCTCAAGATTGGCAAAATAGGGAAATTCTATGGTGCATGTACATACATACGTACGTACATTACCTTACTGATGGTGACCTATGTTCATTCAGCAGAACGTGTCGCTGTACGTGCGCAAAAACTAAATGGATAAAAAAGGGTGTGGGTGTGGGTGTGGGATGGGTGTGGGGTAAATCCTACTTTGATCGAAAGGAAAAATGTTGAACGATAAAAATATCGAAAGTCAAAAATCGAAAGATAAAAATGTCGAAAGTAAAAATATCGAAACGTAAGATGTCGACAAGTAAAAATGTCGAATGATAAATATATCGAACCGTAAAAATATCGAAAAAATAAGATGTCGACTGGATGAAATGTCGAAACTATTTAAACTATTCTTTAACTGAAAATAAATTGTTCAATAAATTTATTTCATTTGAAGAATCAATGCATAGAAATAGGCTTTTTAAAAAAAAATTAAAAGTGAAGAACTGGATGCACCAATTAGATAAATTTACACAACTGTCAATTTTTTTTTTCGCTCCAATAAGAAGTGTGAAGCCCATCAAAAGATCGGAAGCATTCATCAAGCCATTATTGTATCGTTCGTATAAAGTATTAAGACGATTTTGCATAGATGTCGAGCGTGGATTTGCTTTTTTGGATGCACCAGCAGACCATTGAATTGCAATAGAATGAAGTCGTTTTTCTTCTGCTTGCATGAATTTGATAAACTTCCAGACGTGGCTATGATTCTGCTGAATCCGATGATTCATTCTGTTATGATAACCTTCAATGACAATAGGCAGTAGTTATTATCAAAACAAAGTCTTCTTTGCTCTCACCTTCACACGTGTTGTTGGTTCTCGTATCAGTTTTTGATACATTCCATAAGTCAATATTGACCAATCACTGGTTTTCAAAATAAGTTAATAATTGTTCCATCGGTGAATTTGATAAACTCTGTACATCATTACGAATTTCATCATAACCAGCTAAGACTAAATCACATGGCATCAAAGCCAACGCCATTAATTTTCTGCAAAGAACACGAATAAGTTCATTTCTTGAATATTCACCTTGAGGTCCTAAGTGTTGTATTTGCCTAAAAATGCATTGATTGTAATGAAAATGATATCCATAATGTCTTGATGCAGGAAACTAGAAAAATAAACAATCATCAAATCGAAAATGTGGTTTTGTTAAGTAAAACACATGATTTTTACCTCTATTTTAACGACCGAGAGAACACCGGACTCAAAATCCGTAACAATTAGATTTGGTGAAAATGATGTTTGTCGTTCTAAAGCTAGCTGTTTCAGTTCAAAAAAGATTTGACGATAGGTACTGTTTTTTTTGTTTAACATTAATACAAATACGCATGGAATACCTAAAATGAAAACGAGAAATGTTCTTAAAAAATGGTGTTTATTTTTTTACATATATCATAATTGACTCCATGAATAATGTAAACTTGATAAAAATGAGGTGGTGTTTTTGAAAATGTTCCATCCATGTATACGACTGAAGATTTAAATAAAATTTCAAGTTGTAAATCACTTGCATAAATTAGAAGTCGTTCACGTCGAACACGTGATTCATCAAATAACAGAAAGCGTTTTCCACCCACTGTTAATTTGTAAGGATCCGGAATAGTAAATAAGCACGATTGCGGTAATGGAGGAAGAATTTTTTGACGAGCTTTAGCAAATGTTTAATCTAAAAATACGAATTAAAAAATCATCAATTCCAACATGTTTTATAATTACTCACAAATTTCATGATTCGTTGGAAAAGTAGCTAAAGCAGAAATACTTAGTGATGCTTTGGCTACTTCTTACTCGTATATCATATTACTGGGAGTTAGTTCATTTACAATGCGTTGTTTGATCTGTTGACGAAGATGTATTGTATCAATTAAATCTGAACTTCCTTCATGATCATGAATACCTTTACCACCACATAAATAAATATCATTTTCATCTGTTTGAATACGAATTGTACATCCAATAACAGCACACATCCAATATTTTTTTTGTCGTCTTCTTATTACATCTGAATATGTGATCATTCATAACCAACAATCGTTGGCCTTTGTTCGATGTAATAAAAGATATGTTTGTATCTGTACCAGCAGATGAATCTGTTTCAGTCGACATGATATATATTTTCCAGAATGTAAATGTCGAATATTTTGTTAAAGTTGTTTATATGATATCTATGTCTTTGTTCACTGTTGTTTAACAAAGACTATTATTTTAGTTGAGAATGGATGACGTAATTAACCAATAACAATAATTTCGGGATAATCGTATCATACCAATCAGTGCAGGGTGTCATTTTCCTTTCACTTATCAAGTGTTCTTCGTTCTATATCTCAGTTCATCAATTTCAAACATCAGAAACGTCATGAAATACATGTTTCGATAAATTTACTTTCGACATTTTTATCATTCGACATCAAAAAATTTCGACATTTTAATATTTCGTCATTCTTATTTTTCTATATTTTTACATTCGATATTTTTACTGTCAACATTTTACTTTCGACATTTTTACTTTCGACCAAAGTAGGGTGAATCGGGTGTGGATGTGGGTGTGGGTATACATGTGAGAGAAGGGAAGTTCACGCCCACACTCCCCCCCTCCCCCCCCTCCCCCATCCACAGCCACATCCACACCCACACCCGCACCCACACCCACACCCACACCCACACACACCCGCATCCACACCCCACACCCTACACCCACACCCCACACCCAGCCGCTCTCACCCACACCCACAACCACATCCGGACACCCATACCCTGGTCGTGGTGATTTTCGTCTAGGTGATGGTCACAAAGGAAAGGAAGCGGATAAATGCTTGCACAAACTCACCAAAACTGCGACATGCTTATTAATGATGACCTCTTGCTAGATAGGTTTATAAATAATATAAAGAATGTAGATAAAGACGAAAGAATATACGAGAAAGAGGAAAACGCTGACATCAATATCAATGCAGACGATAGCATTGACTAAACTTCTATTAAACAGAAGTATCTCAAACAGTATTTCTTTAGTTAATAACCAGAATAGTTGACAGTTACTAAACATCTTACTTTTCTTTGGAAATGAGTTGTTATCTATGTAAAATAAATGAATTTTAAAACTCGATAAAATGATGCCACACTTTTTTGGACATGCATTTGTGTTTATTTTCCCTACAAAGTCAATTCAATGATTAGTTGATGTTATTCCAGGGTTTGATAGTCCATAGTGTCCTCCAGCAAAGATCAAAGTATGACTATAAAATAGCCAAAAGACCATTGCAGAAGAAGTGATTAACTAGACAGACTCTTATCTTGAATTTTACACCAAAGTACTGTAGATCTCATGACACATCACCAGCAATTTTATTCGAAAAATTCAGCCATCAAATTATTTTTTTTTTGTTTTAAATTATTTATTCTCATAGTTGTGCGTCGCCGTTCGGGCAATACGAATCAGTTGATCCTATTTGATTTTTCTTTTTCATCGTTTATTTATGTTCGTAGTGATCGTTAACTTTTTCCGAAAAATGGAAGCTAGTTTACTTTGCTACTGTTCGTTTAATTGCGTCAATACTTTAACTGTTTTTTTAACAGAGAAACGGAGAAAGCTGGTTTACTTCTTTTTTTGTTCTACTTGTTCCCACAGTTGTCGAAGATTTTACAGAATCAACAGAATGAAAAAACACGCTTTCCTTTTCTTTTTTTAAGTTGGTTGTTCTGAATATTGCTCAACATTTTTCTGAGAAAAATCTAACACTAAAACGAGAAAGCTAGTTTACTTGACTTCTTTTTTATTTTACTTATTTCAATAGTCGCCGGAGATTTTACAGAAAGAATAGATGAAAAAATTGCTTTCCTTTTCTTTTTTTCAGTTGGTGACAAGGAGTATTGCTCGTCATTTTCTGAGAAAGATCGTAAATGGTTAGTGTTCCTCATTTTTTCTCTTTTATCATTTTGTTACTCTGAGAGTGATGGCGCGTTTTATAAAGAAAGTCGAATAACTTAGTATCATGTCTTTTGTGGAACTCGCACATGTTTTCGAAGAAAAATAGTGAGTGTAAGTCTTAAGTTGAAGTTTTGACGGCTCCTCTTCACTCCCCATGCCCTCCCCATTACAGCACATAGCAACTAGTTTTATAGCTGTTTAGTATTCTAGCTTATGAGAAATATGTGAGTTCCGAATTTCAGCTCCAAAGGAGCTGCGCTAACAAGCTTTTTTTCCGATAACTATGTTCGCACTTTACCCCATTGTTCTGAGAGAAACGGAAAAGTTAGTTTGTTTTGGTTGTCTTGGTTGAATTACTCTAAAAATCGTTGTCCATGTTTGCATGGAACTTTGGCAAGAATATCAATCTTGCTTTCTTTCTTTCTTCATTTATTTATTCTATTACTTCTGTTGTTTTTTATCAGAAAATTAGAATCAGATAATTTAATTTAATTTAATTTTTCTCATTTAGTTATTCTGAGAGTTGTCTAGTGTCCTATCGAATTAAACTGAATAAGTTGGTTTTACTTTGCTGTATTAATTTGGAGACGATTTTTCTGGATCTCATGAGAGAAAGTGAATGGTTCGTTTAGCTTAATCTCTTTCTCGATTTAAATCGGCAGGTATTTGACAAGCATTTCATGCGAAAAGTGTGGTTGAGACTCGTATCTTCAATCACATCCACATCCACACCCCTTATTCCCAGGTGAAACAAGCCCGGTCGTAAACGATCGAATACGGGATTTTCCAACCGGTTTTTACCGTTTCTAATCGTATACGGCACGGTGATATACGGTCGTATTACGGCGCATACCAAACGGGTCAAATACGGGCAGTTTACGGCCATATCCTTATCATTAACGGTCGTTTACGACCCGCTCACGGTCATCGTAATGCTGGACCTGGGTTCGTTTAGAAAAGAAGAAAAAAAAATTCAACCCATTCTCGTCTGTCTCTCATTGGCAGCGTTGTAGCTATTTCATTGAAGTTGAATCGTTCTCATTCTCTTTCAGAATTCTTTACTATTTCTTTCAAGCATACACACTTTACATTTGAAAAGAAACACGTGACGTATACGAGCAAATCAAGGAGGTAATGTTTGAAAGAAACTACAACCAATCATTTTGTATTAATCCATTGTGTTTCACGATTAGATGTCCTCTGCTTATCGACATTATGCGCAAGCCGATGCGAAACAAGTTGGACTAGCGGCCGAGTTACGACACGGCGACTTGTCACGCGAGGACAGACACACATGCAATCAGATCATTCACAGCGGTGACAAAAATCCTCACGAATGTGGCCATAATCCATATGCCGATCCCACCAAAAGCTACGACCCAAAGGCACAAAAGGCACTGGACAAAATCGTCGCAAAGCAAAAGAAATAAAAGACTTGACTTGGTAACGCTCCTTATCCTATCGTTGTCTCCTCGTCAATAATTAATTCCTAACACACTAGAGAGCTTTTCAACATTGATGATTACATACAAATAAACTCTAGTTCTTAATAAACGGTTTTCCTTCTTATGGCTAATACTTGTTTCCTTGCAGCTATCAAAGGAGAACCAGTTACTGTAGACAGTTAGTTCCCGATTAGACATGATGCCCTTATGATGAACACAAAAAATAATCTTAGTAGCTATTCCAACGGGATGGATGTGGGTGTGTTGCTCTTCTTTCATTGATAGCCACCCACCCCCTCACCTGCATCAAGTCGAATCGTTGTTCCACCGATGATTTTATCGATTGAATCCAACTTGCTGATAATTCAACCCACGTCTTTCAATCGAATAACATCTTCAGATATGCACAAATAATTTT